TGACCTTGTAGTTCACACCAACTTTGCCTTTGCAGTCCAGCGCATTAACCCACAGTGCCACAATAGTTGATTGTTTTTGAAGAACTTCTGTTCCATTTCAGTGTGCTGGAAAAAGGGTTTTCATTCTCCACGTGTTTCTGAAACTTGAGTGGGTTATGCCTCAGGACAGCTCTGGCTACTACAACACCCGCTTCAATCTGAGGAGCACCTCTGGAACCTGCAATGCTTTGGAATCCTACACAGAGTCTGTCCTCCAGAGGACGCAAGTGTTTTTAAATAATTTGAAAAACACTCTATAAGCAGACAGTTTTCTCTTTTTTAGCGTCTTAAAACACACACACACAAATAAACGCATTGCTGTCCATGGACTCCACCTCATAGCAACCCTATAGGACAACGTCGACTTTCCCCACGGGGTTTCCAAAGCTGTGATCTTTACGGCAGTGAACTGCCAAGCCGCTGATGGTTAGCAGTGGAGCACTCCGGAGGACCAGTGTACTCCCAGAGCTCCTTTTTACCTTCTGATCACACCTTGAATATTGGTTGTTGTTGTTGCTGTTGCTTTCTAGCTGTTCTTAGTTACTGTCAAGTCAATTCCAACTCATCATTTACCTTCTCACCAAACCGGAAACATCCATCTATTTTAAATTTCTGCCCTTTGGGATCTGACTAATGTGTGAGCTGTAACTGGGAAGCCTTTGGAGAGGAAGGCATTCCAAATCCTGCGTCCACTGTCTGGAGACTGGACTGGGCGCCATGACAACAGCATCACAAGGGAGCTCTGCTGACCACTGACCAGCTTAGGGGAACACAGATGGGTTTGGCAGTTCACTTACTTGTACGTAGTGGTCAACGATGCCCCAGGCAAAGTCACAGGGAAACGTCCCTTCTAGGGGTTGGTTTTCAGGCAAAGGTGGGAAGCCATTGTTCTCGATCAGCTTTTGGTAGAACAAGGCTGAAGACTTGGGTAAGAGCTTCTTCTCCTGGCTCAGAAAATCGACATAGAAGAGTCCTCGTCTGATACTGTAACCTCTGTGCCACTCAAAGCCATCCATGAGTGACCATGCTGTGTACCCAATGACATTGACCTCATCCAGTCTGATGGCTGAAAGAGAAGAAAGGACAGGAACAATGTGACCCTTCGCTGCACATCCTCTTCAGAATTCAAGAGTCCTTAAGGTTTTACTGCTTACTGAAATAAACTTACTGCCTGTTGTTTGGCAATTCAAGGGCTTTTACTCATCCACAAAGGCTGTAATCAAATGCAGATCTTTCTACAAATAAATATCTTTTTAAAATAAGCTTATCTCAAACACTTTAGTCCCCAGAAGTACCTGGGGAAAAAACTCCTGTTTTGGAAAACATTATAGCACCAAATATGGGGGTTCAGTATTCTGAACTGACTTAGTGGCAACTGGTTTCATAATAAGCTTATCTCCAATATATTTTTTATTTTGATTCCCCAGTGCCAAGACTGGATAATTCTTTAATTTGAATTCCTTAATCAGAGCAGGAAAGACATACCAAGAAGTATTTAATAATTACTTTTTCTAGAAAGTGTAGATATTTTTCTTTTAAAAGCGTTTGTATTCAGTAAGAGAGATAAGAACCAAAGACATATACAGAGATCTAGATATTTCAGGATTCATTTTGTGCTTAACATAATCTAAAAATATAGATTAATAACTCAGAAAATCAGGTCATTCCCATAGTGAAACCCAGTTTCTCATTTACAAAATGAATTTTTTAAATTGATTTAAGAGAGAACCAAGATGGCAGACTAGGCAGATATGCTACTCAGCCTCTCTGCAACAAAGATGGGGGCGACCAAACCAAACCTACACAGGTGATAAGTCTGGAACGTGAGTTGCAGAGGAAAGTTTGGGGTAGTGGCTCCCACACTTACTGGGGAAGAAGCTGAGCCGGGCAGTGAAGGAGGGAGAAGACTGCTGAAGGCTCTGCCTGCCGGATGTGGAGCAGCCATATTGAACTGCCAGCAACTTCAGAGACCATGACTTGGCAGTGCCAATTAGCACCAGGGGCTGGCAAGGGGAACAGTGTGCTTGTTTCTTGGTCCCCAAGTTCTCCTGGTGACTGGAGGTGTGGCCAGCATCTACCCTCACCCAGCCCCCCGTGCAGTCCCCTAATGCCCAGGATTCACAGTTGAGAGATTGTAGGCCACTCAGAGAGAAGTGGGTGCCAACAGGTGCTGTCATGGCACCTGAATTTGAGTGGACTCTGCTCTAGATATTGAACAGCCTTGAATGGACCCAGTGGACAATGCCCTGACCCATAGGAACTCCATTTAAGTCCTTCCCAACCACCCCGGGGAACTTTTTGATTAACAGGAGCCCCCACAGTTTTCTTCCCTCTGGATCCAGCACCTACACAGTTGTGTTTTGTTTTTTCCTTCCTTTTGTTGTTTTTCTTTGTTTACTCTTTCTCCCTCCTTTTGTAAAATCTTCTCTGCCTATGCTTCATTTTTTCTTCCTTTTTATGTTTCTCTTTCCCCATTTATTTCTGGGTGGTTTCTTTTTTCCCTCTCTTGATCTTTCTTTGTTTCTCTCTAGTTTATTTCTTTTTTTCAGCTTCTCTCTCCCTGATTTTGTGTAGTGTTTTGGGGTTTTTTTTCCCCCCTATCTTATTTCTCTCTTCTATAATTCTATTTTAGGGAGCTCTGGTACCGTAGTGGTTACGAATCAGGCTGAGAACCGCAAGGTCAGCAGTTCAACACTACCAGCTGCTCCGTGGGAGAAAGATGAGGCTTTCTGCTCCCGTAAAGATTTACAGCCTCGGAAACCCTGTACAGGGTCGCTATGGGTCGGAACCGACTCGACGGCACTTAACAACAACAACAACATAGTTCTATTTTACTGTCTCATCTTTGATATTATATATATTTGGTTTTGCCTTTTTCTACTATTTAAAAAAATTTTCTCCTCTATTACTTTATTTTCACTACTGTCTGCTTTGTTTTCTTTTCCTGCATGTGTGTGTGTGTGTGTGTGTGTGTGTGTGTTCTCTTCTTGCTCTACTGAAAAGAGGCAATCCACACCCATATAGCACAGATACAACCATACCCTTTGAAGCCTCACCCCATGGGCAGGAGCCAATTCTGGCCCCTATACGAACTGATCAGTAGACTACACAAGCCAAGCTCACCCTAAATGAGCTTCACGAACAGTGAATAGGGAACTGGGAACGTTTCCGTTCTCAAATCACACCTACCAGGAGGCAGCTGGTAAGAACCTAGGAATACACCAACACACGGATGACCAATTAAATACAGACACAAAGACACCACCATGTCTCAGAGACAACAGACAAGTTCAGTTCACATGAAGAAACAAGAGAAAGTGGCTCAGACAATGTCCAAGAAGCAGAGTCAGTCAATGTTTCTGAGGAAGAAAAAGCAATGGAACTGCCTGAGAAAGAATTCCAAAGAGTGATATTTAGGTACTTTCAAAGGATTGAGAGAAAGATCAAGGCAAGCAAGAACACAGAAAAAAAAAAAAAAAGATAAAGTAAGGAAACACTGCAAGGACAAACAGATAAAATAAATGAAAAGTTAAAACAATACACAGCCTGCAAAAAGAAGTTCGGAAAATTAATTCTAAGGTTTCAGAAATGGACAATACATTAAAAAGGTCAAGGAGTTGTTGTTGTTGTTATTGTTGTGTGCTGTGGAGTTGGTTCTGATTCATAGCAACCCTGTACAGGGGTTCCAAAGCTGTAAATCTTTACGGGAGCAGAAAGACTCATCTTTCTCCCGCAGAACAACTGGCAGTTTTGAACTGCTGACCGTGAGATTAGCAGCCTTATTCATAACCACTACGCTACCAGAGCTTAGATATGAATTAATGGAAGCCCAAGTCAGTGGATTTGAAGACAACTCTCAATACTAGTAAACTAGAATAGCAATCAGAGTAAAGAAGGAAAAAAACATAAATGAGACCTAAGATTTATGTGTGATACCATAAAAAAGAAACTTATGGGTGATTGGAATTCCAGAACAAGAAGAGACAATAAAATCCACAGAGAAAATTGTTGAAGAGCAATGGGAAGAAAACTTCTCTAACATCATGAAAGATTAGAAGATACACATTCAAGAAGCCTAAAGAACATCACACAGGATAGGCCCCAAAAGAAAATCACCAA